CAAAAATCTGACTTCACCAAATTTCCTCAAAAGTTCACACGAGATGCCTAGAGGCCAGAATTGAATTCCCTGAAGAGTTCAACTCATTACATTCAGAATCCAGTGAGAAAAGAAACATTTTAGATTTTTTACAAAATGCCCCAAAACTTCAACGTTTTCCATAGCCGGCATCATCGAAAAAGTCAGTTTTTGACCCAAAAATCTGACTTCACCAAATTTCCTCAAAAGTTCACACGAGATGCCTAGAGGCCAGAATTGAATTCCCTGAAGAGTTCAACTCATTACATTCAGTATCCAGTGAGAAAAGAAACATTTTAGATTTTTTACAAAATGCCCCAAAACTTCAACGTTTTCCATAGCCGGCATCATCGAAAAAGTCAGTTTTTGACCCAAAAATCTGACTTCACCAAATTTCCTCAAAAGTTCATACGAGGTGCCTAGAGGCCAGAATTGAATTCCCTGAAGAGTTCAACTCATTACATTCAGTATCCAGTGAGAAAAGAAACATTTTAGGTTTTTTACAAAATGCCCCCAAAACTTCAACGTTTTCCATAGCCGGCATCATCGAAAAGTCAGTTTTTGACCCAAAAATCTGACTTCACCAAATTTCCTCAAAAGTTCATACGAGGTGCCTAGAGGCCAGAATTGAATTCCCTGAAGAGTTCAACTCATTACATTCAGTATCCAGTGAGAAAAGAAACATTTTAGGTTTTTTACAAAATGCCCCCAAAACTTCAACGTTTTCCATAGCCGGCATCATCGAAAAAGTCAGTTTTTGACCCAAAAATCTGACTTCACCAAATTTCCTCAAAAGTTCATACGAGGTGCCTAGAGGCCAGAATTGAATTCCCTGAAGAGTTCAACTCATTACATTCAGAATCCAGTGAGAAAAGAAACATTTTAGGTTTTTTACAAAATGCCCCCAAAACTTCAACGTTTTCCATAGCCGGCATCATCGAAAAAGTCAGTTTTTGACCCAAAAATCTGACTTCACCAAATTTCCTCAAAAGTTCATACGAGGTGCCTAGAGGCCAGAATTGAATTCCCTGAAGAGTTCAACTCATTACATTCAGTATCCAGTGAGAAAAGAAACATTTTAGGTTTTTTACAAAATGCCCCCAAAACTTCAACGTTTTCCATAGCCGGCATCATCGAAAAAGTCAGTTTTTGACCCAAAAATCTGACTTCACCAAATTTCCTCAAAAGTTCACACGAGATGCCTAGAGGCCAGAATTGAATTCCCTGAAGAGTTCAACTCATTACATTCAGAATCCAGTGAGAAAAGAAACATTTTAGATTTTTTACAAAATGCCCCCAAAACTTCAACGTTTTCCATAGCCGGCATCATCGAAAAAGTCAGTTTTTGACCCAAAAATCTGACTTCACCAAATTTCCTCAAAAGTTCATACGAGATGCCTAGAGGCCAGAATTGAATTCCCTGAAGAGTTCAACTCATTACATTCAGTATCCAGTGAGAAAAGAAACATTTTAGATTTTTTACAAAATGCCCCCAAAACTTCAACGTTTTCCATAGCCGGCATCATCGAAAAAGTCAGTTTTTGACCCAAAAATCTGACTTCACCAAATTTCCTCAAAAGTTCACACGAGGTGCCTAGAGGCCAGAATTGAATTCCCTGAAGAGTTCAACTCATTACATTCAGAATCCAGTGAGAAAAGAAACATTTTAGATTTTTTACAAAATGCCCCCAAAACTTCAACGTTTTCCATAGCCGGCATCATCGAAAAAGTCAGTTTTTGACCCAAAAATCTGACTTCACCAAATTTCCTCAAAAGTTCACACGAGATGCCTAGAGGCCAGAATTGAATCCCTGAAGAGTTCAACTCATTACATTCAGAACCAGTGAGAAAAGAAACATTTTAGTTTTTTACAAAATGCCCCCAAAACTTCAACGTTTTCCATAGCCGGCATCATCGAAAAAGTCAGTTTTTGACCCAAAAATCTGACTTCACCAAATTTCCTCAAAAGTTCATACGAGATGCCTAGAGGCCAGAATTGAATTCCCTGAAGAGTTCAACTCATTACATTCAGAATCCAGTGAGAAAAGAAACATTTTAGATTTTTTACAAAATGCCCCCAAAACTTCAACGTTTTCCATAGCCGGCATCATCGAAAAAGTCAGTTTTTGACCCAAAAATCTGACTTCAACAAATTTCCTCAAAAGTTCATACGAGATGCCTAGAGGCCAGAATTGAATTCCCTGAAGAGTTCAACTCATTACATTCAGAATCCAGTGAGAAAAGAAACATTTTAGATTTTTTACAAAATGCCCCCAAAACTTCAACGTTTTCCATAGCCGGCATCATCGAAAAAGTCAGTTTTTGACCCAAAAATCTGACTTCACCAAATTTCCTCAAAAGTTCACACGAGATGCCTAGAGGCCAAATTGAATTCCCTGAAGAGTTCAACTCATTACATTCAGTATCCAGTGAGAAAAGAAACATTTTAGATTTTTTACAAAATGCCCCCAAAACTTCAACGTTTTCCATAGCCGGCATCATCGAAAAAGTCAGTTTTTGACCCAAAAATCTGACTTCACCAAATTTCCTCAAAAGTTCATACGAGATGCCTAGAGGCCAGAATTGAATTCCCTGAAGAGTTCAACTCAATACATTCAGAATCCAGTGAGAAAAGAAACATTTTAGATTTTTTACAAAATGCCCCCAAAACTTCAACGTTTTCCATAGCCGGCATCATCAAAAAAGTCAGTTTTTGACCCAAAAATCTGACTTCAACAAATTTCCTCAAAAGTTCATACGAGATGCCTAGAGGCCAGAATTGAATTCCCTGAAGAGTTCAACTCATTACATTCAGAATCCAGTGAGAAAAGAAACATTTTAGATTTTTTACAAAATGCCCCAAAACTTCAACGTTTTCCATAGCCGGCATCATCGAAAAAGTCAGTTTTTGACCCAAAAATCCGACTTCACCAAATTTCCTCAAAAGTTCACACGAGATGCCTAGAGGCCAGAATTGAATTCCCTGAAGAGTTCAACTCATTACATTCAGAATCCAGTGAGAAAAGAAACATTTTAGATTTTTTACAAAATGCCCCCAAAACTTCAACGTTTTCCATAGCCGGCATCATCGAAAAAGTCAGTTTTTGACCCAAAAATCTGACTTCACCAAATTTCCTCAAAAGTTCACACGAGATGCCTAGAGGCCAGAATTGAATTCCCTGAAGAGTTCAACTCATTACATTCAGAATCCAGTGAGAAAAGAAACATTTTAGATTTTTTACAAAATGCCCCCAAAACTTCAACGTTTTCCATAGCGGCATCATCGAAAAAGTCAGTTTTTCACCCAAAAATCTGACTTCACCAAATTTCCTCAAAAGTTCATACGAGGTGACTAGAGGCCAGAATTGAATTCCCTGAAGAGTTCAACTCATTACATTCAGAATCCAGTGAGAAAAGAAACATTTTAGGTTTTTTACAAAATGCCCCAAAACTTCAACGTTTTCCATAGCCGGCATCATCGAAAAGTCAGTTTTTGACCCAAAAATCTGACTTCACCAAATTTCCTCAAAAGTTCATACGAGGTGCCTAGAGGCCAGAATTGAATTCCCTGAAGAGTTCAACTCATTACATTCAGTATCCAGTGAGAAAAGAAACATTTTAGGTTTTTAACAAAATGCCCCCAAAACTTTAACGTTTTCCATAGCCGGCATCATCGAAAAAGTCAGTTTTTGAACCAAAAATCTGACTTCACCAAATTTCCTCAAAAGTTCACACGAGATGCCTTAGAGGCCAGAATTGAATTCCCTGAAGAGTTCAACTCATTACATTCAGAATCCAGTGAGAAAAGAAACATTTTAGATTTTTTACAAAATGCCCCCAAAACTTCAACGTTTTCCATAGCCGGCATCATCGAAAAAGTCAGTTTTTGACCCAAAAATCTGACTTCACCAAATTTCCTCAAAAGTTCACACGAGATGCCTAGAGGCCAGAATTGAATCCCTGAAGAGTTCAACTCATTACATTCAGAATCCAGTGAGAAAAGAAATATTTTAGATTTTTTACAAAATGCCCCCAAAACTTCAACGTTTTCCATAGCCGGCATCATCGAAAAAAGTCAGTTTTTGACTCAAAAATCTGACTTCACCAAATTTCCTCAAAAGTTCATACGAGGTGCCTAGAGGCCAGAATTGAATTTCCTGAAGAGTTCAACTCATTACATTCAGAATCCAGTGAGAAAAGAAACATTTTAGGTTTTTTACAAAATGCCCCCAAAACTTCAACGTTTTCCATAGCCGGCATCATCGAAAAGTCAGTTTTTGACCCAAGAATCTGACTTCACCAAATTTCCTCAAAAGTTTATACGAGGTGCCTAGAGGCCAGAATTGAATTCCCTGAAGAGTTCAACTCATTACATTCAGTATCCAGTGAGAAAAGAAACATTTTAGGTTTTTAACAAAATGCCCCCAAAACTTTAACGTTTTCCATAGCCGGCATCATCGAAAAAGTAAGTTTTTGACCCAAAAATCTGACTTCACCAAATTTCGCAAAAAGTCACACGAGGTGCCTAGAGGACAGAATTGAATTCCCTGAAGAGTTCAACTCATTACATTCAGTATCCAGTGAGAAAAGAAACATTTTAGGTTCTTTTGTAATTGGGTCCTTTAATGTGCAATTTGGGTGCAATTATGGGGTGTTTTGTTTTTTCATTGTAGTTTTAATGTTTATGTAATTGTATTTTGTCTGTCTTTTAAAAAAAGAATAATAAAAAAATACTAAAAAAAAAAATAGAAGATTTTTGTCAAGAGGTTGCATATGCCTTAAATTGACAAAAATACTTTTTTGTTTAAATTAAAAATACAGGTTTAAAATGAGTATAACTGAGTGTAAAAAGAAGACAAAAACTGTGGAAGAGTATCGACAGTATTCAACCGTTTCTGTTAACAAAAATGTCTACGGACCAAAACCTTCAGTTTGCTGGACACCGTGTCTACTCCCCACACAAAAGGACAGAGACCTCTCACCTTTTTCTCCGCTTCAAAAGTGTACGTGTACAAGCCGTCCGTGTCGTTGAACACCATGTAGTTATTAAGAGGTCCACAGCAGCTGAAATCAGATTGCAAATGTCAAGCTTTATTTGGCCGTAGAGGATTGATAAGAATGGATTGAGATTAATAACACGGATCCATTAGGCTTTGCAAACTGCGCACGTAATGAACAACATACTCAGCTCTCCAAATATGCCACGCTGCATTTTCCAGAAGCACGCCCATGCACAAATGCAAACATGTCAGACTTTTTGTTTTTGGACTTTAATCTGGCCTTTGATTGGTCAATAGGGGCTGGACCTAATGGATCGGTCCATGGGGATGGATTAGGAATGATATAGAGGGAGTGTGATGAAAAAAATTAAGGGTGGGGACAAGCCAATACAATTTTGTCAGGAGCATTTAAGTTGATGTCAGCTATTAAAACTTGGCGCGTCCATTAGTCTCGCACACTCTTCTCCTACAGGGTGGTGCAAAAAGAAGGAAACAATTTTGACAGGAATTTTAACCTGCTTACTTTTATTTGAACTGGATTATTTTACAATAAATTTAATCTTTCTTATTGTTATCTTCACTATGCAAACCTACCAATCTTATCTTTCCCCTTATTACAATAAAGGAAACATGAATTAAGAAAAAAATGTCAGCATGTATTCAATTTGTTGGATTTGTTTCGAACAAGTAACCTGATAACTTCATCTCAAATCTAATTGTCAAAAAAAAATATGCAAAATTGACCGTCAATTACATGTATGTTTCAGGGGCAAAACAAAAAGAATATTAATTAACAGAGTAAAGAATGTTGTTAATAATAGAGTAGGATAAAACAGAATGACATATTATTGCATAGTAAGAAAACAGAGTACATAAAAAGAACCAGTTCTTTGTTCCCAAACCAGCAACTGCTCTCAAAACTTGGCCGCTTATTTTACAGGGTTTATCATTAACAAGCTATGCTTCCCTACATGACACACCGGTACAAGCATACATCATTCAGCTCTGGGTTTTTGCAATCAAAAGGGTTGGTTTTTCAAAGGTTAATAAAATGACACTTGGATTAATGAAAAATACACACTGACTGATGCTATGCTGTACAATGTAATGTAGCAACTACAGTTTGCTGCTGAAATTTCCACTTCAACATTTACGAAGCCACTCACAAAGTGACAGCGTCTCGCAACAATGCAAACAAGTATCACTTTCACTTAATGGCCCGATGCGCCGAACCCTAAATGCGCGGAAGTGATTCCGCTTCGTCCCGGGGCCGGCCACATACTTCTCACATCAACTGTTGTCGCGCAGCGCAAAGTGAAAGCGCAAATAAACAAGGTGTGCATGTACCCTGGAGATATGGGACAAGGCCTGCGTGGGAAAGTTAATACTTGAAAGTGATTGCACGAACACATGCAGTTTGTGGACTTTGATTGTGTGTACAATGGAGGAGATTTAGTTTGAAGGTTGTGGAGATTGCACACGTATCGTAGTGGCTCGTATTAGCGGACGACTTCTAAGCCACGGTCAAGTTTTATTTAATCAAATTAACGGAGGAAGAATTGCTCGTTGGTAGATAATGGATTGGGGCTATCGGTGATAAAACCAAATTGGCCAGAAATTTATTTACTATTACGCCTTGCGGTCATTTGTGTTTTGGGCAAAATTGCAGTAGTGTGGTTTCCGCAGTTTGCTTCTCTGCATCGGACACGGAAACATTTCTGCGAGCAATGCCGGACGTTTTGGGCATTATCAGTGCGGTTATCGGCACGTCGGGTCTGCTGGGAAATTTCGTGGTGTGTGTCGTCATATGGCGCATTCCGCACATGCACACAGTGACCAATGCTTGCTTGTTTAATCAAGCCGTCGCGGATTTCTTCGGATCATTGATTTTCATGCTCGTTTTCAACATCCCGACTTTGGAGGTTTTACCGAAGGGGGCCTGGGGCTGGCTGTATTGCTACCTATGGGAATCGGAGAGCGTCATGTGGATGTTTCTCTTCACCTCCGCCATGAGTCTCGTGCTGGTAACCCTGGAGCGGTATCTAGCGATAGTGTATCCATTCAAGTACCGTTCACTCTTTGCGCGGCGCTGGGTACCAGCGGTGGGGATCGCCGCGACATGGCTCGTCGGCATCAGTATGGGGCTGTGCATCTTCGCGTTGATTGACTTCTCTGAGCGTGACAATAAGTGCAAGGTAGCTTTACCGACGCCCACGGGGCACCGGCTAAACAATCTCGTCCAGGCCAGCAATGTGGTCACTTTCTTCATCCCGGCCTGGACCATGCTCTTCGCGTACATCCACATGGCCGTCGTGCTCAAGCGGGGCGCCAGGCAAACTGAACCGGTGTCCGTCAGAACGGTCGTGATGACCCACATCCGGAGCGACAGGGCCAGATCGCCCGAGTCATCTTCTGGCGAGCACATCCCCGAAACCCAAGGGGACTCGCTCCTCCGCGCTCGCCGCAACGTCATCAAAGCCCTCGTCCTAGTCTGCTTGGCCTATTTCATCTGCTGGTTGCCGAACACCGTCATGCTGGCTGCTCACATACCCGGCCTACCCTACAGCATAGCTACTGTTCTGGCCGCTACCAACTCCTGCCTTAATCCTGTCATCTACACCATTAAGTACAGCTCATTCAGGAAGGGTCTCAAGCTGCTGATTTGTGGAAAGACCTCAACAACTGTGCACAATGACCATGAGTAGAGCGTATGAGTGGGGGAGTGTGGCCTGGTGGTCAGGATTTGTGATAGGAGGGTCAGGGGTTCAAATCCAGCTGCTGGCCATATGTTGTGTCCTTGGGCAAGCCACCTCACCCCCACTTGCCTCTCTCTACCAAAGAGTATAAATGGGTACCCGCATTAGCTGGGGAGTAACCTGCGATGGACTGCATATAACTATTTTCAGTCGTTTCATGCTAAGGAAACTAAACACCCAGTAAAATTATTCCGTCTAGCTTCCTGTCATTTAGCAACAAATTAGAAAATGTAGGTGATTTCGAACGATCACTCTATTGACTGATTTTTGGAATGTGCTATCAACGAAATTGTGTTTCATGATCAAAAGGTTGTGCACTATTTTTTACTGTTTTCTCAATAGGTGTGATATCCACTGAGCTGAAACTTCAACAGGTAGTTTTAAACATTTCTCTTTCGTGGATACTGAGTGGTGTTATTATTTGAAATTAACAAAATTCATGAAAAGCAAATAACCCTATAATACCTTTAAAAGCAAAGTATGTGCCACTGGTTTGTGCAGAGTTTGAAAGGTTCAGGAAGGTTAAAAATGCTTCAGGGAGTTTGGGTTAAAGATGTGTTCAATAGTTTTGAGATTTCAGAACGACAGATTAACTGTTTGTCCAGCAAAACCAACGTTTAGGTACTGACATCAATTTTTGTGGAGAATAGTTCCTTTTTGTGAGGAAAGAAGAAACGATTGTGTACGTTTCAGCGAACATGTAGTCACATAGTGAGTAATCTAGCATTAGTCACAAAAGGAACACATGCATTAAAAATGAAGGCCTGTATTATGTTTGTATCTTGCAAACCGGATTGCACCAGTTCTAGTGCCTGGCAAACCCTAACAATGAATTTGTAAACAATTTTTTGATACCACAATTGTATTTCTCTTCAGCTGTGACCTCTGTTAAATTATTGCTTGCTGCAGTTGGTAGTTGATAAGAGAAGCTAGCACAATGATAATACTACAAAGTTGTGTAGATTATATTGCAATTGTCATTGTTTCTTTAATCTATTTTCACTTGTATCAAATACTAGGATATTCCATTACATGGAAATTTGAATATTCATATATTGGATTATTCGAATTTGCAATCTGAAGTAGGGCTGTGCATCAGAACCGGGTACCCGAGTACCCGACCACTGATGTCAGAAACCGGTTCCAGATTATGGGATCGGGTACCCGTAACCAAGGGGAAGTGTGGCCTACGGTTTGGGTTCGTGACTCATGATCAGATGGTCAGGGGTTTGAATCCAGCTGCTGGCCATACGTTGTGTCCTTGGGCAAGGCACTTTATCCCCACTTGCCTCTCTCCATCCAGGAGTATAAATGGGTACCAGCATTAGCTGGGGAGTAACCTGCAATGGACTGGCATCCTGTCCAGGGGGAATAGAAATATTCTCAGTTGTTTCATGCCACTGAAACCGGAGATAAACGCCGGCCTGATGGGCTATATAGGCTCGGGACAGACTTTACTTTACTTACCCGTAACCAACTTTACAAATTACTTAGTAACTTCTCAGACGATGAAAATGAAAGGTTTTGAATGTCATTTGTGGGAATTTTCAAAGTGAAAACCAGGCTTCATGGACAAACAAAACAGATGTCACATTTATAACGCTCGCGAACGTTGCAGTTTTCACCATCAAGCTATTTATAAAGCTCACAGTGACGGTACCCACATTAACTGCTGCACAGACGCGCAGAAGTGGTAGTATAATCGTGTTGACCTTTATGAACAATCTGAACTGCAACTTCTGAGAAAATTAATTAATTTTTGTTTAGGCAAAAAAAAAACAACTCTCGGTCTCTGGTCAGCGCGCGCGTCGATTTTAATCATGCGCGTCAACCTTTTTTCTTTTTTTTCTAATTAACACTGAAGCTACAACAGCGCCCTCTATTGCTGCGCCTCCTTAAATTTTTGTACCAAGAAGCACCAAGGAATGGCGAAATTGCACCAAGGCAAATGATAAGGGGCACCAATACAAGGCAAATTATGGAGGACACCAATGTATAATGAGGACACAAAAAAGCCAAACAGTAGGGCCTACCCACCTTGTCTGTACAATACAAGCTTGAAAAAAAAAAAAAAAAAAGCCATACAAAAAAAAAAAACCCGCGTCGTCGCATCGATTCCGGAACTTCGGTCTGACCAGAGACCGACCGTAATGACCAGTGTCTCCCTATTGTCGAAGAAATTACGATAACGTGTCTCCCCAATGGTACATTTGTAGGAATAACAGCTCATATTTTCGTAATGATTCCGCTCAATTTGGAATGGTCGGTAGGTATGTTTGTGAGGCGTTCTGGCAAAATGAGACAGAACTGGGCAGAGGTTGAAATGAGGGTTTGTTGGTACAATGTATTAGGAAAGAGAAATAAAATTCTCCTTACAAAACTATTTGCTGCACTTCCATCGGACATTCCATTGACAAGTTATGGCTGTTTCAATTTTGCATTTATCAACATGTCAAAAAAGTAAAATACTGAGAAAAGGCATTTTAAGTTTCGAGTTTTGCATTTATGAAAGTGAAAGATGCCAATTGTTTTCCCTTCAAACACACTTGTATTCCACGATTTTTATACTATTTCTTTAAAATATGTGTAGTAGACATATCAAAGATTACAAACATCAATAAATTGGCAATTTGCAATAATTTGCATTTTTCCCTACTGCGGCCTACTGGTATGCCCAGTGCCGTCTCATTTTGCCAGAAAGCCTCACATATTTGTTACTTTTCCACAAAAAGTGTACCTTGCTTTAATAAAAAACTAAAACAAATTTGAAAAGATTTTCGTCTTACCTTGATGCAATCTTGAAGGCTTCAGTGACACACTGCGCGGCTATCGTGGCATTGGTGGATGCCACGGCTGGGATGATGTGCTTCACAACGCCTAGAAATCATAAACCACCAGGGATTGAATTTTGCAATAATCTCCTTTCTTTGAGCTCTCTTTGTTCAAATAGTGAACCACGGTCAACATGCAAGTGAAAATACAGGGTGTCTCCAAAAATATGTAGCAGTCAAACAACATTTTTTTTTGGAAACTAAATCGATAACATCGCTGACGTGATGTAACGCGATGTTACCCGCACGCCTGTTCTGCTGGTAATTTACACGAAAGCGTCGTGCGTCCGGGTTCATGCTCCTTCGAAACGTTCTATTATCCCAAATGACTCGTGACCCATATCATTGGCACATGCGCAGTTGAAATACCGAACTGGCTTATTGGCCAGCCTTATGTCATGCCATACGTCACATCCATGAACCCATCTGCTACCACCCTCTGTGCCACTGTACAGGGTGAGTTTTAAAAAAAAAGCAGAGCCCAAACCCCCCCCCCCAAAAAAAATATTTCATATTCTAAAAAATTTGTAGCACCAAAAATAATGATGACTGGAAAGCTAATTTCATAAACTACTTATGGATGAAAACAATACTGAAATTGCTCAATCTGTTCAATTTATTGTGGGTTCTGACTGTTTGGAGCAACAAAGAAAATGACACAGAATACTTGTTTCAACAACTGTCAACAACTGTAGTACACCATATCTTTACTAACAATCGTGCTTAGGTAAATAATATGATTTATAAAATCAACTTAAAAAAAAGAAGATTTTTTCCAAAAGGACATTGTTGAATATTTTTAACTTTTAAACTGAGGTTTTATCGCTGGTGATGTTTGAAGACAATTGTGACGACGATTCTTGAAATCACATTTTTTTTGAGTTTTTAGGGTCATTGCGTTTAAATGGTGATAAAATTTGAACGGATTGAGCAATTTCAGTATATTTTTCATCTAAAAGTAGTTTATGAAATTGGCTTTCCAGTCATTATTATTTTTGGTGCTGCATATCTTTTAAAAAATGAAATATATTTTTGGGGGGTTTGGGTTCCGCTTTTTTTGACTCACCCTGTATATTTCTCAAAAGAATTAATTTCTGTCAGTATGTCACACTGATTTTTCTTCCCTTGTATCACCCTATGTTACACCCACCAATCCATCTTGTAGTATCCTAAATGTCACACCAACTGCCCACCCATGTGTCACCCCTATTGACCTACCTTGTGTCAGCCTGTATGTCACCCCCATGATGTTGAACTGGTCAGCCCGTTCCTGGGCCTTCTCAAATATCCACTGAATGTGGGTGGGGTCATCTCCATCTATAGCTACGTCTTCTGCAGAACAAAAATATGAGTAGGTAAAAAAGGTAGAGTATATAATTTGCAGCTATCCAAAAAGTAACTGACAAAATTATTCTTGAAAAGCATACTTGGTTTAACCCTAACTCCCTAGGCCTTTTTGCTAGGATGTAGCCTCAATCCTGCAAAATCCTCCAATTGGCCTCATGGAAAAAGAGCATATAGCCTCAATCCTGCAAATTCCTCCATTCTTTCTTGAATATGGTCCGTGGAGGGGTGATTACTGCCTCAATCCTGCAAAATCCTCCAATTGGCCTCATGGAAAAATAGCATATAGCCTCAATCCTGCAAATTCCTCCATTATTTCTTGAATATGGTCCATGGAGGGGTGACCACTGCCTGAATCCTGCAAAATCCTCCGACTATGACTGTCAATAGGTTGAGGCAGAAGCAGTGACATCCTGGAGCAGTGCGGAGGATGTCAAGTATAATCAAGGACTAAATTTATGCACGGCTGAGCATAAACAACACAAGGTCCGGCCCAAGACCTTGACACAGTGCATACTCCGAAATCAGCCACGCACTTTTGCCATGTAACCTCAATCCTGCAAATTCCTCCAATTTGCAAAAAGGATTTTGGAGGATTCAGGGCGGTTAGGGTTATAGATAGTAATGGTACTAAACTCCCTGTGAAATTATTCTTTCTTTCTTTTAAATGAAATGGTAAAAGGCACTAGATTTCATAGGAGTCCAAATCTCATGTGACATTGGAAAAGTGTTTAAGACCAGCCAGCTGGTCTTTATCAACCGTTTAAAACCGGCGACGTGACGGGCTCTCGACCAATAGGAATGGGTAAACTGTTTGAGGTATTTATGAATGTGAATTACAAAGGGGAAAATGGATAAAGCGAAGAATACGTTGACTTACTTCCAAACGGTTCCTCTTGAGGCCAGAGTAAGACCTTGACATACTCTATGCAGTGAGCTGGCAGCCTGGGTGTGTGGGCGATGGTACACATGGGAAAAGTAATCTGAAATGGAGGCATTTCCAATATGTTAATAATCATAATCTGTCCGGTGACTTGGTAGACTTACAAAGTCACCTGGCTTAATACGTTCATCTCAAACGCATAATTACTCAATAATAACGCATTTTATGCATAAATTAAAGCATCCTCTGATTCTCATTATGTAACAAACACCTGGTTGCATGTATGTTCATTTGAAATGCATATTAAATATTATTTTAATAACATAATATTTAGGATTAACCCTTTCATTAATAGGCATTATAAATCTCCACAAAAAGTAACTATCAATATGTCGCATTTTGTTCGTATTCAAGTTGATCATGAATTGGCCAGAGTTTGGCTTTTGAATAGGGAGGGTATTGTCAATTTAAAAAGAAAGTCTGAAATTGGGGACATAAAAGGGGGCAGGGAGAGGTCCCCAAAAGTCTAATTTCAGACAAAATGCAATATCTCAAGCCTGTTTCGAATGCCCTTTAAAATACACGCACAGCAGAAGCATACGAAGCAGTGAGGTGGCAACTTTCCCCCTCCCCCAACAACATTTTGCCATTTTAAAAATGTTCTAGATTTTTTTTAGGAAATTAATGAACGTGTAAGCACATCAAAACCGTAACTAGAAGTAATACCTTTCACCGGTTTTAAACATGTTCAAAAACAAAAACAAAAATCGGGGCCACATTTTCACAAAAGTCACCCATTTTGCTCTCCCACCCCCGCTCCCTACCGTGCACAAAGTAACTCCCCCCCCCAAACCCCAGTGTCCCTACACCCTATACATGTACATAATCTATAGACTCATACTCTGTGACCTAATATTGCCCCTGTCCCTAGATATCACAAAAGACTTCTTGAAATTCCAGGAACACAATGACTGACATAAAAGGGGGCAGGGAGAGGTCCCCCCCCCCCCCATCACATATCTTGCTTCAAATGCCACCCTGCCCCCAACCAAAAACCTGGCTATGCCAATGACCACCAATACATACCTGAGGTGGGTAGAGCTCGAGTGTGCACTCAACGCAAGCTGTCATTCCTGGTAAGATGACTCTAGCATTGCCTTTGAAGCCCTCCGTGCCGCCGTCGATCATGGGAACGATGGACGTAGGATCGACGGCTCCGTCTTCGTAATTCACCAGGCTCAGCTGGGGATGTGAAGGAGAAATGGACGCATAAATTTTTTTTTTTCAAATACTAGATAAAAAACACAACCTCTTTAAGTTTGCAATACCAGCAATTAAATATTGTTTCAGTGTCAGATGTAGGGTGGGGTGGGAGTGCGGGATGGGGTAAGGGTAGGGGATGGGATAGGGGATGGGGTAGGGGATGGGGTAAGGGTTGGGAATGGAGTAGGAGTAGGGGATGGGGTAACGATATGGGGTAGGGGATGGGATAGGGGATGGGGTAGGGGATGGAGTAGAGGATGGGGTAGGGGTACGGGATGGGGTAGGGGATGGGGGTAAGGGATGGGGTTAGGGATGGGGTAAGGGTAGGGAATGGAGTAGGAGTAGTTTTTTTTTTTGGCCTTATACAAACTCCGACTACTATTTATCTGTAAACAGGCTGTAAAAAAAAAGGACTGATTGGTTTGCAAAGCAACTCACCATCATACTATTCATCCAGCGCCTGGCAACAATGGAATCCAAGCCATTGATCACGATGTGAAACTCTATCAAATAGAAAAAGTAATCAAATCAGAAGTATTAAAGAAGGGGCAAGTTAACACACATATTAAGACAAGGCCATTGGACCACACCGATTGGTTTGTCAAAACTTTTTAAAGGGAATATACATCATTTGCTTTTGATGTAATTTTCAGAAATAGATGGAATTGGGGGGTTGGAAATGTATAGCAAATATAGTTACATGTACACTGACTTTTTTGAGGTTTTGGGTTCGAAAATGCTATAAAAACCAAGAAAAACAATCATTTTCCTGTAGTCTGGTTCCCTGACTCCATTTAAGAAGAAACAGAGCAGTTTACATACATTGGGGAATTGTAAGGTCAGGGAACCAGTCTAGCTGGCTTGTACCCGTTCATAGGTGTGTAATCGATTGCTAACAAGTGCGATGGTCAACTGGGTCCAGTATTTGAAATAAAAGCCAGTTTTTTCCAACCCTGGTCGGCACGATCAGCGTTGGAAATTGATACAAAAATACCACTTTTCTTGAAAATGACAGTATACCAAGTGCCATAATTTTACAGGATGCTTTACACTGTCATTCACTAACAGTCCAGCAAGGTATTTCAAAATGATTTGGTAGTTTTATTTTTTGATGTTTGCAAATGTTGTATTTTCCCTTTAAATCAAAGACAAATTGATACTTACGTCTATAAAAGGTGTCGTCATAATCTTGGATCTTTTTGAAGTGCCTGATAACTACTGTTAAGGGTTGTATGATATTGTGTTACTGGTTTACAGCACTTCATCAGGGAGTGAAGAAACAGTCAGACACCGGACCATTCACAATATTTGTTCAAATGCAAATATGTATGTTAAAGGCATATAGGATCATCTGCATTTATCCCATTTATTATCTAAGCGATTAATCTACTTGAATTAATAAAATGCCATTTGAAGTTTGCATATATCTTCATTGTTTTAATAAGATTAGGTTTCCCTACCTACCCTATTCTGACAGCCCCTACCCTAATTTGTTTATGGGAAAAATGAGAAAAAAACACCCAAAACCATCAATGTTTACATTTTACCCTTGATTTCACACAAATGCCTCCATATGATCGTACACAAAAAAAAATTTGAAAAAACAAAACAAAACAATTCCCTACCTACCTACTCTATTTTCAAATGCCATGGAATTTGTTTTGGCCTTGTCAGTTACAATACTATTTAATGATCTTTTCGGTGGATTTCAGGATGTTGACAAAGCAGAATTTAATCACGCAACCTCTGAAGTACCGTACAGTTACTCTATCAACTGAGCTATTTCAGGGTGCAGGCCAGTAAATAGGCCCGAAATTGCCTACCCTGACCAAATCACGATTGGCATGCCCTCAAATTCTTTGGTATCAGAGCATTCTGTGGGCTATGAACTTGAGAGTTTGTAAAAAAGATGGGTGGAAGCCATGCACATAGACTGTGAACTTGTATTTCTGTGAAATTTGGATGAGCGCAAGCATCATTTTTTAAAATGGCGATGGGCTTCTGGACCATTTTTAGGGGTGATCATCTTTGGATGGCAATTTCTCCCAGAAGGCATCAGATAACCCCCAAAAATTGAACAGAAAATGAAAGATAATAATAACAATACTAATAATATCGGAGTCTTATATAGTGCACGCATCTACCAGCAATTAGGCACTGAAAGATGATGAAACAAGCTTTAATTTGATACGTGTCTTGAACACCTCAGAGAGTTTTGAGTATTTTTAATAATTTTGGGAAGTGTGCGTAGTTACCACTGAGGTGGCAGTCTAGTTACTGGCCTGGACCCTTCAACCACCATCTGTTTGTTGACAACTCAAGAATCGTCGGTGTCTTTGATCAGGAAAATAAATACAATCTATAAAGGATACGGTGTGACATTGCAGCCAGGGATTCTCTGGTTGATGAAATCAGCTGCAACATTGGCCTTTGGTTTGCCGACGTCCTTCAGTCTGTTTGTAATGAATAAAACAATCAGAAGAATGAATAATAGGCCAGTTGTTGAAGATCCTTTTCGGTCATTTAGTTTTTCTTCAGAAATATAAAGACCAGATCAAAAATATTGTTTTCTGAGGTGACAAAATGGTTGGGGGTACATGTAGTATACAAATATTGACTGCTTTGAGTGGTGGAGTAAACTAGCCTCCTGAGGTGATCCATGGAGCGTTGTTTCCCGAGGCGTAGCCGAGGGAAATGGAATACTCTATTGTTTACTGTGGGAGGCTAGTTTTACTACACCACGAATTAAAGCAGTCAATATTTGTTTTATATTACACCTCACCACAGATTCGGCTTGATTTTAAGAGATAACTGATTAATTTAATCTAAATACAATTAAAATGTACTTCTATTTCAATACGAAATTAGTTGAAAATTTACTTGTACTTTTCCAAACTACCCCTTCACGAAATGTTTGAGACCAGCTAGCGCTTGGGAACAATACCACAATGCGCACACCCGTATGCATTTTGCACACATGCATACCGGTTGCTATGCGTATAGTACTTTGGTTGCTATGCGTATACATGTAATACTTTTTTCAGCCATTGAGTAGTCTTTTTGGCCGTGCACAGCAAGATAGCAAAAATAGCGACTGCCATGTGGCTCGCTCTCGGCCAATCAAGATACAGAATCTGCGGTAGAGGTGTTATAATATAAATATGTGACTATCCAGCACAAAGCCAGTCGGACGGCCTATATTTTCAGATACATCTTATAATCCATAGATTATTGATGATGTATACTCCAAGTTTCATTCTGATGGCTTTTATAGAAATGTGCATTGCTAAGAAATTCATTTGGCAAACTTCTAACAACAAATTTCTCGATTTTTTTTAACTTTCCGAGGCCCGAAAATTTGGCACTGAAAATACATATAACTCCATCAGATTTTGCCCGATTCTCATATTCTACAGCTTATTAAATGTCCTTTCCAATGGGCCCACTGGCAAAATTCCAGTTCTAAAAGATTGGACTATCCGCTCCGTTCACAAGTACCCCTTCACCGGCAAACAAAGTACAGTTGGGGGTGACAGACCGACGCCATCTTGCCTGACTGCAATTTTGCCGCGACGCGCGGCCGTACCACTGCGTGCACAATCCCCTGGTGTACGTGCATCACACACAAGGAACAGTGCGCGTCAACCAGCTAAATGTCCTGCCCATGGGACGTCGTTGCTAGGTAAAAGGGTGCCCTCTTTCGTCGGCGCACGGAGCTCATAAAGTGACTGTACATGTATATTTTTTCCACTCTAAATTGCAGCAGCCCTTTGATTGGAAAAAAAATAGTACACCATTTTCCCCCTTTAAAACAGAGCAGCAGAATTCCAAGCAGGTTTCTAGCAATTTTGGTTGCTATTTAGACATCGTTTCAGAGCAGGAAGTGGGCCAGAAAGTAAACCACACTGGCCAAAAAGTGAGGGACTAACTTGTTTTCATTGCAAAAAGATCTTGCCATTTTTTTTTAAAATATAAAAAAGTATCAGTATCAGAGCAATCTGAAGGCACGTTTTGAAATCAAAATGTCAATCTCCTTATGGGCTCCGTGCGTGAACAAGAGAGGGCGCTTTTTGAGAGCTCCGTGGATGGGACACACCGAGTGCACGTACTGGTTTGCACGCATATAGCCCGAAGTATGCTCGACCTGTTTTATTCTGAATCTTCACATAAGCCATAGCATCTTCATGTGAGCGTCAGGCGCTGTCGGCAATGCGGTCCAATATCTCTCCCAGTGGTCTCTCCAACTCTCCCTTTCTTACCGTTGAGGGGGTACTTTTCTATTTCACAACTGAACCCTCACCTGAATAGAAACTGCCGATTGAGGTTAGACAGGTCAATGGTGTCCATGTCGATGACGTCAATTTGCCTGAATCCCATCAGAGCCTATGGTCAAAAAAGAAAATGAAGTCAGGACACCACATCTATGGACACCGCATCTATGGTTTCTGCAAGTGGTGTGCTACAGTGAAAAAGCAATAAACTGTGCAACTAGTAAAATTTACAAGACATTTGATAAAAAGTCACTTCTACCCGACCAGTTGCGACTATTTGCCATGATGTACATATTAGGATATATCTTGGATTAATAGAGCACTATTTTGATACAGCTAGGTCTATCTACATGTACACTAAGAAAGCATTTTGGACAATGTTGCACTCATCCAGTTTCTTGATGGTGGAGTTTTATTAAGGTTTTTTTTGAGTAATTTGTTTGATGAAGTGCTATGATAATTTCATAAATGTATAAATAATCCAACCGACTCTTAAAGAAATTTGAGGTTGCAATAGTCACACAGCGCTCAACCTCGTCCCCAGGGTGTCGAGCAGTACGCGCCCACCACTACCTGCTCTCTCACCCTGGTATTGGATCATTTGCATGTGCAAGATTTTTTGAACACGTATGCAAATGAGGAACAGTCTGGTGCCTGGATATGTGTTGCACATTAGCGTTTGTTTTTGTATGCGGTGTCTTGGGTAAAAACAGAGTCAATTCGCAGCAGCGCGAGCACGGCGTGAGTTACGAAAACACGATTTTTTAAATCAAACTGTTACGATCTTATCGAGACAACATGCAGTATCATATTTCATATTAATATGAGCAAATTGGAAAGGAAATTAGTATTTTCGAGAAGGCTAGGATGAATGATCGCGAAAACAGGTACTGCACGTTGTGAATAATAGCACCAAGTGCACGATATAAATCCATTACTAGCCAATTGCGGTATCGAATCAGGATACAGGAAGAAAGTTTCCTATCCAGGGCTTACTATTGGAAACCAGGTTGGAAATAAAGTAAGCACTGGGGACGAGGTTGCACAGCGCTGGTAAACATCAATGCATGTTTCAACCTGGCCATATCTATGCTTGTCACGGCTGGTCAAGTGAAAAGCAATACCACTTCCTCTTTTACTTCCGACCTGACAGCGACTGATTTATAACTTGGTCAATTGCTATCCTAAAATATAGAGTGCTGTTTTGCCCTATAACTCAAAACCATCCTTAAAAGTCAAGTGAAATTTACCAAATCTTTCAGAATCTCACAGCCGAGTCCGCCAGCCCCAACCACAAGTATTCTACAGTTGTTGAGCATAAAGTCCAGAATCTAAATAAAAGGGGGAAAACAAACAGACTGAAAAGAAGTATGAAATACAAAAATAATGTACTTTTAATCTAGTGGCCAAAATCAAAACAATCAAAAAAAGCTTTCTCTACAAATTTTCTCATTACTTTTTCTAGAAGTAAAAGTGACATTTTTTAAAACCCCAACATAAATCACACATTTGTAAACACATTTGAGTCAAGTCAAATTGTTAGTCATCATTTCTGTACCTCTGTACTCGGTTCAAAGTCAGGATGTGCAAACGGGCCGCTCCTCTCCAAAACTTTCCGGACGTGGGTCCATCTGCCAGGCCAATCAGATTCAGCCCTGCCAGTTTCCATGGCAACCCTGTAACAAAAGGAGGGTGCGGTAAACAAGGTTATGATAATTCATGAGAAAAATCATACACAAAATTATCTTGGGCCTACAGTAACTTCAGCATGCATAAATTCTGCTCAAGACCCATTCAAACTGGATACATTTTTTTTCTACAACCAGTTAAAGGCATTCCCTTTTTGTTCTGCCCCCCCCCAAAAAAACCCTAATTTTTTTAGCGATCGTGTAGGCCCTAATTAAGTTTTTAATTAATATTTAGTTTCAATCAAATTAGAGTCAAGGGTGATTTCTAGGGGTAGTAATAACGAATTTCATATACAGTTTAGGGTTGGTGCCGTGCATTTCAGCGCGCCATCGCGGTGATCGATATCTTTATTTTCGTGTTGCGTTTTGTCATTGACATCGTCATTTTTACCCCAATGCCCAAATTTCCCTCAAGCAAAATAGGCCAAAGCCAAATAAATTAAAAGTAGATTTTGTTCCCTTATGCCGTTATGGGAACCGATCGTCATTGTTTTTATCTTTAAAATAGGTTTAACCAATTCAGTAGATAGCAGATTTTATCTTTTCTTTGTCACCAATTGGAGGTTTGTGAAAAAAAACTCAAAGAGAAAAGGAGGTAGTCTGACTAGACTGCGCCCTACCGGGTTGTATAAAAAAAATCAGTGCGACTACTCAGAAACAAAATGAAATAGGCCTAGGACTAGGTTGAAGAGAAGAAACCAATTTTATTCAGATTTTTCCGATCAAGAAGTAAAGGATCGTACACTTGTTCAGCACAACCACTTAAAAATCCAATCATGTATTTCAAAGAAAAAGATGAAACTTTACGATTCTCCTTGGTCTGTCATCTTCCGGTAGATCGCGATTCCGTGTGTGAAAGTTTAAATAGTATGCTCCCTCGGTGTGTATTTCCTGATGTAAATATGTTTCGGCTTCCAGGTACCATGCAGACTAAACCTAATTATGTAGCGCCCTCAACGGTCACGGATATTTTACAGCGCCCATTTTCACTGCTCGAGCGGCGAGGATGATTAAATTTGTTGGCCCAAAATATGTTTTTTTTCAATCGGGTAAGAATGCATTGTGTGGTGATAGATACCTGATTGGTTGTAGAACATAGTAAATTGCGCATTTACATCGAAAATGGAGTAAATGTGGTGTTTAGACGCCACTTTGTTGGTTGTGTACAAAGTCAATGACCGTATGGTGGGAAGTCGTGAAATTTTGCTGAGACCCCCCCCCCAAAAAATATTCTCAGTCCTATTACTCCTAACTAACTTTTTGAAAAAAAGAATATATGCCCTATTTGCAATAATTTAATAAGTAAGATTATGTAGGCCTAGGCCCTATCTGATTTGGTGGTGGGGGGAAATAGACATTCTGATTTGGTGGGGGGGGGGGGGGGGGGGATGGGGGATGTGTTTACTGTTTTTAGTTTTTTAGGCCAAAAAAGTCTCTGGTTTCTGGTATGGAGCATGCCCCAAAAGTGGTGCGGCGACGTGGCTTTTTTTTTTTTTTTTACTTCTTTTTTCTTCATAATCATAATTCATATGTCGGCTGATGACTGCAAATGGTGCCCGACTAAATTTAGTGCAAAATATATGGAAGTCGAAAGAGGCCACATAAAGAGTTATACTCGATCGTAACCCCATCTAAAATTAAATTGTGCAGCAGCATGATTAAAATCGAATCGACGCGCGTGCTGACCAGAGACGGACTATTAATTTTTATGTGTTTAGTGTTTATGTGTTTAGTGGCCAGATACCATCACAGACACTACATTATGTATCTATCAACGAATGCCTTGACCAAGGCTACCAGTAGTTCTGTCACGGCGCAAATAAAATCGCAGGTCGACCTGAGGCCAGTTTAAGGCAAAAGGAAATTTGCAGTACACGTTTGAATGGAATTATTCTTTCCATTGCACTCATAAACATTCATTATTTGTTTTTTATACAACTGAAAAAAATCCCTGTCGTCTGATTAGTGGATCGTTGATCACATGTCTTTGAATTATTCGTCCCAACGCACGGTCCGGCTGCACCGCAAAAATAGAAGTTCTGTTGCACAGTTTCACTACTGCTGGTGGTGGTGCTGTAACACAAATCTGATTTTTAATACTGAATGGCAAATTGGCAGACAATGCGCGAGAATCTCTGTTTGTTCTCCAAACAGAAGGCGAAATATCGGAACTCGCTGGTGATGTTGACACTGCTAATACCAAGAAGCAAATAAGGGCAAGTTCGCGCAAGGACTATAGTTAACCATTGGTCGACTAACGCTTGCCCGAACTCTGTCTAGTCGACGATGGTTAACTACGCTAGTCGACTATTTGGAACCAACCTACTGGGGTTGGTTGCTTCGCTGGTAACCATAGCCGCGCGCGTTCATAACGTACCACAGGGAGCCAGGATCCAGACGTTTTGCGATGACATTTTGACCAGCGTTCGACTAGAGACGTTCGCACGTTGCTATAAGTATTAGTGCGCAGGCGTAAGGTACGTCACAAATCAACCACTAGTCGACTAATGGTCCTTGCCCGAACTTGGCCTATGCTGCCAAACCAATGGTAGTTCTGTCGAGAACAGTTTTTAAAATACATAAATTGGATATAAAAGTTCTGAACTTGTCGAATAATGTTGAATAAATTGGATATTGGAAGTGGACCACTAGTTAATTGCCACTGACTATTAAAAAGCTGACTATTAGCATCACTGTCTATTTCTTTCTGATATCCCACTATTACTAGATGGTGTAAACTGAGTTGGTTGCCATGGTAGAGGAGTATTGCCGTAGCCTGCTCAAGGTGGCCGTAGCTCAGCTGTGCCAGGGGCTGGGCTGGCACACCATACACACCACGCCCTTCGACCTGCTGACCGACGTACTGCAGAGGTATCTAGAGCACCTGGCTAGACACACTCATCGCTACGCTGAACAGTGTAAGGACATAAATGGTCTGAAGAAGTGGGGTCTGAAGAAGGGGGGTGCTGTGGTCCAGTGGTTATGGTGTTCGACTCGTGTGCCGTGGGACATGGGTTCGAATCCTGACTGTGGGAACATGGTGCTTGTGCTCTTGAGCAAGGCACTTTACCATTATTGCTTTGTCCTTCCGATGGGACGTAAAGCCGTAGGTCCCGTGTGTTGTGTAATGCACGTTAAAGAACCCAGTAACACTTATCGCTAAGAGAAGGGGTTTGCCCCGATGTCTCTGGCAGTGGCTGCAATATGCACCGCAGCACCTTGTAAACCCTTATAAGGTGCTACATAATGGGTCTCATATTTTTCATAAACTTTATTTACCTTTCTTTAATAATAGACATAATTTCCAGCACCTTGAGTACCTAATTGTTGGTAGATACGTGCGCTATATAAGACTCCTGTATTATTAAGACTGCCTTAATGTCGGTCACATGGATATTGCGTTCTTAAAGAATTGGCAGTGTGTCATTGCCTTTATGTAATTTTATTTTATTTTCGAAGAGTTGAACAAAGAAATTGACTGGAGCGGGGTTTGAACCTGCGACCTCCGGATTACCATTCCGGTGCTCTACCAACTGAGCTATCCAGCCCTACATGTATGTTGGCGGTTCCCCAATTTGTCCATATCTTTGTTCAAGGGCCGATAGTCAAAAGCCTTAAACCAGTATGCCATGCAACCAGGGATCACGCCCAAAGTCACAATGCAGACTGGGAAATGGCAAACGGGGATCACTCGGGGAATATTCAAATATTCGGTCAAGTGCAGTTTCGAATAATTAAATACTAAATTATTCAAAAATGGAGAGCCTAAAAAAAACCTCTTTGAAAGAAAATCAAGAAAATAAATAGTTTTGGGTTGGTTTTTTGGGGTTCTCGTTACCAGATGGCCGCACAGATCCAACCCTGGATGACGTGGGCCTGGCCTTCGCCCACATGCACGTCCGCCTCAACGAGCTGGAGACCTACCTCAAGGAGGTGGAGCCCATCCCGTTTGCCCACCCTCTGCCATCCTTCCCTGTCGCCAAGAGGAACAACCTCCAGATCCCCCAGCCGGGGAGCAGAGATTGCCGGGAGAGGCTGGAGTACATCCCGGAGCATATGCCGCCCCTGGTGGATATCGCCGGAGGTTGGAGATAGTTTCACCTTTTTTTTTTATTAACACACTTCTCACTGATTCTGTGTCCTGGTTGGCTACAGTTATGTGTTGTTCACCTTCAACCATCCTTTTGTTTGATCAGTCACTGACAGTCAAACAGTCAACCCTGATCCCCTGCCATGCCTTTTACACAGGCTAGTCACCAACAGTCAGATCATATTTCTTGAAGGCACTGAGACAGTCAAATTCCATCAACAGACAAAAGCAGGTGACCGGTAGGCACAGCTGGCTTATCAATCTCCTACAGTCAAAGCATAGCTATGTCAGGTTTCATAGCAATCGCAGCCAGTCAATCCTACTTTATGAAGGCAGGAGCACTCAATTTTTAAAACGGTCACCTGATTTATTTTTACTGCTGGGCTGGCCTTGTTGAAATTGCCAGCCAGAGAGGGAGGGTTAATATAGGTTCAATATAGGCTAGTTCAGGAATATGCATTGAGCATAAACTATGTATTGAGGCATTATGCATGTATAGTGCCTGGTCAGGGATGGGGCGCATTCATTGTCGGGGGTTCCCACTGTGTTCAACGCCTCATGGAGATTTTCAAGGCTCATCATTATTACATGAAATGGATCTTGTGTTTTAAAACACATCATTGCTGGCCTTGTTGGGTCATTCAGTGCATGCCTATGCCCTGCAGGCTTGTGAGTGACTACAAGAGGGCTCTTTTTCTCTTGGCCCATTTGAAATAGAACCCTCTTTTTGTCACCCACAGTTCCTAGGGGTGCATTAGTGACCTCATTGCCGGAAAATATGTGTGTAATGTGACCCTTACTTGTGCAGGGTCATATTCTGCAGCTCTCTTTGCCACCATTTGTAACAGTTGTATTTATTTGTTGCTCCTCTCGACCAGAGTTTGGTGAGGGCCTCGATGCAATGGACATCTCTCATTCATCTCGGGCTTCTTTTGACGCCGACAGCTACGAGCCGCACACGCCACTCTTGAGCCCTACCTCCCCACGGGGTGAGAAACGCGAACTTCTGAGTCCCACCACGGACTACTTTGCCTTCAAGAGGCTTCGGATGATGGAGGACGGCACTCCCCGCGAGCTGACGGCTTTATCGATGGGGGTCAATGGTGAGATCACCCCAAAGAGAGAGGGAAGGCTCCCGGTCGCCACCACCCCTCCCCAGAAAACTCTTGTGGAACGTCGGAGTGGGGTGCCAGTCATTCCGCTCTCGAGGACGGACTCAAAACCCGATGGATTGTTGACCAAATTTTCTAAGTTGCCCCGCTCCAGCCCGGCCATGGACCTCAAAGTCATCAAGGGTAAAGGCATCACTCCGCCGAAGCCAAAACCCAAATCCCCAAAGCATCTATTCTTTTCGTCAGGAGGGACGCCGTCTGTTTTCCAGGTAAAGCCCAAGAGCCCCGCTGTGGTCATCATGGACAAAGTCAAAGAGTTATTGCCTTCAGGAGGCAAGAATATCAAAGTGGTGGGACCAAATATCGGGACCTTGCTGATTACAACGAAGAAGACTGTAGAAATTCCCCCTGTCCCTTCTGCCAAGGACATTGACGATGACGATAAGAGTCCCAGCCCTAAGAAGCCTTCCGCTTTAGACGTTTACGACTTTGAGGACGAGGACACTAAGCCCAGGACGTCCAAGACCTTTGACCCTTGCGGGGAGTTGCCAGACCCTTCCAAGGCTGTTCTGCCCTCGGCGACGCTGATCAGGGAGGAGGAACAGGAAGTGGTGGCTAACGCTGCCAGCATCGAGGATACGATCGAGTCGGTGATCTCCAAGATGGCCCGTGGCAGCACCTCCAAATCAGCCAAGAAGAACGGCAAAGATGGCGACCGAGAAAGGACCAAAGAAAAGGGAAAGGACAAAAGCAAGGACAAAGGCAAAGACAGGAGTGTCGAGAAGGGTAAAGGTGGACTCCTCGACATGGCGAACAAGAGCAATGCGGAGAAATCCAGTAAAGGACACTCCTTACCCCCAAAGCTTCTGTTCAAGCATGCTTGGCGGGAGAGCGAAGGAGCCATCACCTCGGCCATCAAAATGGATACGTCACCGGGACTTGCGCCTAAACTCGTCATCAAGACCTCGGACCCAAAAGACAAGAGTAAGGACAAGAGAGACAAGCCCAAGAAGTTCGGAGACGAGAAGACAACATCGGGGAAGGAGTCCAAGAAGGAGCGGTCTAAGCGGAAGAAGGAGCAGCTGAAAAAGGAAAAGCTGAAAAAGAAGAAAATGGAAAAGAAGCGGCGGTTGCAAGAGCTGGCTGGCAAGACTGCCAGCTCCTCCAGCGGAGAGACACAAACAGACTCTTCTTTGAAACAGCCCATCATCGCCAAGCTGAACATCATCACCAAGAACCCCAAATCCATGAAGGTCCGAGTTGTTTCTCAATCAGAGAGCCCCGCCAGCAGCCCTAGCCGGGACAAGCTGAGCTCCAAACAGAAGGACAAGACCCGCCTAAAGAAGAAGAAGAAAGAGAAGGAGCGCAAGGCGAAGATCAAGGCGGCTAAAGACTCGCTTAAGAAAGCCAAACAGAAGGAGGGTAAGAAGAATCCCGGAGAGAAGGAAGGAGAACAGAATCCCTCGGAGGAACCACCTGAAAAAATCGCAAAGGTAGGCATATCTCTCATTAATCACAGATATATCAAAACTGAAATTTTCACCAGATCAGCTTTCTAACTAGGTAGGGCAAATCACTTAGATATCGGATCGAATGATATGAAATCAAATCAAATCAAATCAAAGATGGTTTATCAAACTTTATCTCTCACAAATTATGGCTGTCCATTTTCAAATATTTTAGTATTGTATTATTCCAAACTGCGTTTGACTGATTACTCGAAACTTGCCGATCAAGTTTTACATGCGCCAGCAGCAACTGGGTACTGCACCGGTCAACAGTTGCACACAAAGTGCACCGGTTAAGATGTTTATGTGGTGATGGTGTTATGGGCTGCTGGAGAGATTAGCAGTTATTCTATAACTGTCCTGTGCTTTAATCTGCTGAAAGGTTGGGCACAACGAACTGCGTCGACAAAAAAAAGTGGCATCAGTCAATAAAGATCTGCAAATTTATGATTAAAAAAACGCAGCCATATGTGTAGGGATTTACATTCCCGAGGACAGACAGACAAAGGGAGAACAACAGATTATTTGTTGTCCTCGAGTGTTCATCTTTTGTTGCAAACAGTCCTCGATCGTGACTTTGTGTGCTTAGTCTATGGGTGAGTGTTATATTATAGAGACACAGGGAAAGACAATGCCTTGTCCTCGAGAGTTATGTAAAACACAACTGTGTGTCTTTGCTTAGTTCATTTTCCCAATATTCAAAGCGGCTGAAAGCTATTTGAATATTTGGTTGATGATCAAATATTCGGTTTATTAAGGTCAGCCATATTATAAATCTACATTTCTTGGCACAAAGTCGAGTAAGTGATGGATTTACAAACTCTCAAATCTTAACAGTTCATAAACTAAAGACTGTCTTTATTGAATGACTTTCGTGTTCCTCAGCTGACTGTACCCAAACTGATGCTCAAGATTGGCTCAGCATCTTCTAGTGGAGAGACTACAAAAATGTGAGTGATAAAACAATTCTCCATTTTTTATTTCGTAAAATAGTTGCCTTTTTTTTGGTCAGATTTCAGAACTTCGCTCAACAAACTTCCCACATTGTTAACTTACAGTCTTTTGGCCATGGAAATATTTTATGGATGATGCTTGTCTCTTGTGAACCCAAACTCCCTGAACATTTGTTTTTCATGGAAGTGTCCTTAAGGTAAAAAAAAAAAATAAGTCGGTCTCTGGTCAGCGCGCGCGTCGATTTTAATCATGCGCGTCGATCTTTTTTTTTTCCAAAATGTTCCGCGGTAGCTCCAACAGCGCCCTCTATTTCCGCACCTCCTCAATTTTTTTTACCAAAGAGCACCAAGGAATGGGAAATTGCACCAAGGCAAATGATCGAAAGCACCAAGGCAAATTATGGAGGACACCAATGTACATGAGGACACAAAAAAAGCAAAATAGTACCCACCTTGTCTGTACAATCCAAGCTTGAAGAAAAAAAAAAAAAAGAAGAAGCTGCGTGGCCGCGTCAATTCCGGAACTTTGGTCTGACCAGAGACCGATTTTTTTTTTTTTTTGGCCTAACCTGTCAATATCCACAACTGCATGACGTTGTACTTCCTTCCCAAGCCTTAAGCAACAATGGCAATCATATTGGTCCGTTATTTCAGAATCATCAAGAAACCTTCAGAGAAGCCCAAGCCGCTGCCACCAAGACCCCGCACTCCATCCCCATCATCGTCTTCAACTTCTTCCTCTTCATCATCATCCCCCTCGCCGTCACCTCGGCGAAAATCGCCCTTCCCTCCACCACACTCCCCATCCCCGTCAACTTCCCCGTCTCCCTCCCCCTCCCCAACTCCTGCCTCGCCTTTGCCTACGCCCGACCCTCCGCCGAAAAAGACGCCCGCTTCCAAGAGGGCTCCCCCTGTCAAGAAGTCAATTCCAAAGAAGGTGCCCGCTGCCTCGCCCCCCAGCTCGCCCCCCTCGGTGCCCAAGTCGCCGCCACCACCCCAGCCCAAGTCACCCCCGCCACCCAAGGTACCTGTGGCCGTACCCCCAGTGAGGAAGGCAGCCTCCAAGGCCTTCTCGGCCATCGCCAATCCCACCAAGGTCTCCCAGCCGTTGTCGCCAGGAGCTGCTCAGTCCCAGGCTCCATTCAAGGTAAGACAAGCCCAAGTTCCAAGACTTTATTGGAATTTTAAGCAAATTTGTGATAACAACCTGAAAAGATGGCAGATTTATTTAGTATTTGGCATTTGGCTAGTATAGTCCATGAAAAAAAATAATAATAATAACAGTCTTCATAAGATGGAATTTTTGCGTCTGGTTGATGTAAATCAAATTAGGTTTTGCCCTCCACCGACGTATAAACACTGTATACTCAGTGTGTTACCTCCCGAGTGAAAGTTGGAGGAAAAAAAATAACAGTCTTATTGAACACCAATATCTGCTGGAAAGCTAGAAAGAATTTGCGAGCTTAATGTCATGGATTACTGCTTACTTTTGATCACAGTAGATTTCACGAATAATTTGAAGATGTGAACCTCTCCATTAATTCTCAAGCTTGCGGCTTACCTTCTCTCCTTTCCTGATGTTTACATCAAACCATGGAGAGTGAGGTTGAAAGTCTTTGAGCTTTGGATCAACTGGTAGGAGATGAGGAAGGAAATTACAGTTTTAGAGGTGGGAGGGAAATCCGGGAATGAAAATCCAGGGAAATCCGCAGAATCAGCACCCAATTTCATCAAACTCTTCGTAACTTACGATGCATCGCAGCGCTGCGACGCGTCGTATCCCTACGATGCGTTGCAGCTGCGATGCGTCCTGCGATCCATTTCACAAAACATGTCGTAAGTGCGGCGCGTCGTAGGTACAACTTGGTGACTGTTTTATGTATTTAGTCAGCGTACAGTAAATAGTCGTCTGATATTCAACAAAAAGTCGTCGGATCTCAGCTCGAAATTTGTTAAAACGTAAAACAAACTGGTGGCCGTGCAATGCAATTTTGAAGGAAAACAAGCTCTCAGTGGACGGTATAGCTACTTTGAAATTTCAACTGCAATATTCCAGTCTAATTCACAATTATTCAATGAATTTTCTATATACAACTTTGCACACATTGCCTCGGTATTATAATCTTGTTTATGTAATGTTTATGGCATTAAACTGGCTAAGAAAGAGACTCTTCCTATTTTGCGATGACCACTTGACACGTCGTAACTTGCGATGTGTTTTAAGCCGTTGTCAAGGAACTTACGACGCGTTCAACACATCGCAACTTTCGTGAAATGGATTATACGACGCGTCGCGAGTTACGACGTGTTACACGTCGTAACTCGAGTTGCGATGCGTCGCAGCGGTTCGTGAAATCGGGTGCAGGTAGGTATTGAAAGCCCAATCCTCAACTCCGCCCTGGGCAGGAATCGAAACCCTGGTCACAGAGGAGGAAGGCGAGGAATGAACCAATCCACCAACCCTACTCCTGACATAAGTGTGTGGGTGAAGCAGTTTTTTGCGTTACTGTCATAAATATTATGTCAATTTCGCTTCTGCCCTCTCAATGATTTTCCTTGTCAGTGCCATCCACTCCTCCTTTGTCACTAGCTGTAGGTGCTCCAAGGCTGTGTATATATTTTTTTTTAAATGGCCTATTCCATCTGGGAAAAGTAAGACCTGTTTCAGACTTGCTTTTCAAGAGTGGTGCAGAGTGGTGCCATTCAAAGTCACACCCAGTTGCAATTACCATTGTCAATCCCACACTCTCTCTTGTCAGGGTATTTCTGTCCCGACCAAAGCTTCTCTGAAGGCCCCAGTGGAGAAGCCGCCGGCCAAGGGAAGCAAGGGACCCTCTACGCAAAAGGCACCAGGCACACCGCCCCCTAGTGGCGGAGTGACAGTCGGCGGATCAGCGCAACGCAGCGTGATTCTCGAGACGGTTGGAACTGTTGTGGTAAGTTTAGTTTCTTGTTTAATACCCAACAGGAATTTTTTTTAAAAGTTCTCTTAATCTCAATTATCTTGTTGAGTTGAGTTGTAGATAGATCTTTTGCGTTCAGCAGCCATCTTTGTGGTCATTTTTATATTTATATGGCCCATGAAGTGCAATTTCCTACTCTTTGTCATCCCTTTTGATTAATTTTATTGAAAAGTGTACTTCTTTAAACATTTGAAATTGTTCCATTCTTTTCTGAAACTGAGGGCGCTGCAGCTGTGATGTCATTTCAGGAATGACAGTGTTCAGTTTAGGGTTCTTCTGTTCAAATAATGAACCCAAAAATTTGCTTATTGAAAATATTTGTGAGAAAAGTTTAGAGTTTAATTTCATTAGTTTTGACTTCAAATAGGAAAGTCTTTGACAGCCATTGTTTTGATTTTGAAGGATTATTGGTAAAGTTATAAGTAAAAAGTCTTGACAGTTAGAGTCTTAGAGTTAAACCTTCCAATGAATACCAGTTATTTCACAGTCACCATAATTCCTTTCCAATGATTTTATTCAGAGTGACACAGGAGAGAAGATCTGGATTTGTCCCACCTGCAAGTTGCCTGATGACGGCAGTCCCATGGTGGGCTGTGATACTTGTGACGATTGGTACCACTGGTAAGAGGGAATTTCTATCATTCTAACATTGTTCTTTTTGAGCAAGACTTGACTCGCGAAAGATGACGCTCGCGAAAGTTTACACCGTAAGTCTATAAAAGCCCTTCAGACAACTTCCGGGATTTGAATTTTGTGGTTGGGTTTCTTTTACGTCAGTAATGGAGTCAGTGACTCAGTTAGTCATTCAGGGAGTCAGTGAATGTCAGTCAGAGGACAGTTGGCTTGCCCTTCGAGTCCAGCAAACAAATTGTTGCAGCTGAAATCATGCCTATCATCTGTATATAATGTAAATATCCTTGAAAGATTTCCTGCAAGATAGTAGAAAATAAAACCGGTAGCATTTTAGTGTCACTGTTGCAGTTTCAAAGTGCCAAATACTCGAGAAACAAAGCAGTGATGGGGCATTGTTGGAAGACTTACTATGGAATTCTGAGCTTTGTTGGTGGAAAATAAAGGTCAAGAATAGTCTGTGGAAAAAAATTCTGTCCATTGATAATTTTGGAATTTTTAATTCTGGTCGGTATGAGTTGTTGCTAATGCGATAAATTGCTCCATGAAATTGTCCCAATTCAAATGCATACGTCTTAGTCTTGAACTTTGCACTCTGACCTTTGACCTCAGCAGTATTCCTTTCATCTACCCTCCCTATATTTCTCTCCTGTTTCCTTCACCTTGTGCAGGCCCTGTGTGGGCATCAAAGAAGAACCGAAGGAGCCCGACTGGTACTGTCCACGATGCCGGGTCCCTAAGAAGAAGAAAGGCAAAAAGAAATCCAGATAACCAACACGGTTTACTCGTAAACAACTACGCTTATTGGACCCAACCCATCAACACGAGTTTGCAGTATTCACCACAGCTACTTTTGAGTAATGGACCTTTTAGCAGAATCTGGCACAGAAGACCTGAGACGTAATGACGTAAAGGCTTTGCTTACATTTGCGCTTTCCTATGGGGACCGTCTACCACATAAGAAAGCGCACATGTAAACAAACCGTGACGTCATTACGTCTAAGGCCTATTGGAATCAATCAGAACAGTCAACCTTTTTACACCCAAATAATATTTGTATATATTAAAATGTCAACGTATGTCAACCCTCCTATGCAAAATACGTGCTGTGCCAAATAGTCCTTTCAGTCAAAATCAAACAAGTGACTGTTTTCAACAGTTATGAAACTTGATACAGCTATGCTTTGACTCCGGGTGAGTGATAAAACAGCTGTGCCTGCTTTGTCTGTTGACCCAGTTTGACTAGTCACAGTGTTTGCGATACATTATCGTATGATCTGACTGCTGGTGACTAGCCTTTGTTAAAAGTATAGCAGGGGAAGTGGAAGTGACTTTTGACTGTCTGTGACTCTTTGAATAGCAGGAGGGTTAGCCACAGCTATTTTTGGTTTAAAAACCATTGGGCGAGCCTTAACCCTAACTCCCTAGGATTTTTTGCTAGGATGTAGCCTCAATCCTGCAAAATCCTCCAATTGGCCTCATGGAAAAATAGTGTATAGCCTCAATCCTGCAAATTCCTCCGTTATTTCTTGAATATGGTCCATGGAGGGATGACCACTGCCTGAATCCTGCAAAATCCTCCGGCTATGTCTGTCAATAGGCTGAGGCAGAGGCAGTGACATCCTGGAGCAGTGCGGAGGATGTCAAGTATAATCAAGGACTAAATTTATGCACGGCTGAGCATAAACAACACAAGGTCCGGCCCAAGACCTTGACACAGTGCGTACTCCGAAATCAGCAACGCACTTTTGCCATGTAACCTCAATCCTGCAAATTCCTCCAATTTGCAAAAAGGATTTTGGAGGATTCAGGGCGGTTAGGGTTAATGGATCAGTCTACTATATGCCCTCGCGTTACCTCCTGCATCAGGAGCGAACGTTTATTTCTTCAAGACTGTGCGATGCTATAAATTCTAGCAACGCGACATCGAAATCTCATCTTTCAAAGGATTGATTCTAAAATTTTGATTTTTCAAAATTGAAAGCACGGCATCCTGCATTATTAATACATCGACTGCAGTCCTAATTTAAAGTCCTAATTCATACCGGGGTTAAGACCTCTTGAGGCAACATGGCACAGCAAGATCCTACCCATGGGAACGAGGTCAAAGAAATCTGTGCGGGAATGTAGATGGCATGTGACAACACGCGAAAGCATGAGTGCGCAAAGTACGCACGACAAAGTTTCACTAGAATAATATGGATTCAACACTGAAAATCGTAATCAAAATCAAAACAAAAACCAATGGCTGTAGTACAATTTGCTTATTTTTCTTTGCGTTCTTTTTGGTGCACTATAGACATCAGTTTTCACTTGTGCAAAATGTTTGAACAAGAACAAATTCCACTGTTCCAGTTGTGCTTTCACTACATGTATCACTTATGTGCTTTAAAGGTCCATGCAATGTAATTCTTAAAATGAAATCCTTGAATATGCACCTTTGTGTCCCATTTAACCTTATTTTCAATTGTCAGTTTGCCATTTTCAAGGGTATTTTGGTGTCTTTGGTGTTTCTGCTAATGTGAATTTCCATATTCATGAGAAAAAGTGTGATGTCCTTTCAGGAAGAAACCTCAATGTTACAGCTATTGCAGCACCAGAAGTTGGCAGAATTTTGGATATTTTGCTGCCGTTATTTTCTTTGGTGATTTGTTGCATCAGTACATGGCAGTATGCCAATGAGCAAAAGTTTCTCACAAATGTTTTCAGTGAGCAAATTTTGAGTTCACAATTTGAACAGAAAACCCCTAAACTGAATGGTGTCTTCCTGAAATGACATCATGGCAACACCACCGTCAGTTGTCCAGAAACGCATGGAAAATTACTTTAAAGAAGTGCACTTTTTAATAAAATGAACCAAAAAGGGATGACAAACAGTTTTCATACATTTAAAAGGAGTAGAAAGTTGCACAATATTTGTTCCTATAATTCATCTCATGGATCCTTGAAAGCTAGATATCCTTCTGTTGAAAATCAATCTGAATTTATTTGTAAACTTAACAGGGTACACTGGGGGGGGGGGGTAAAATGGTGGAAAACTTTCCAACTATTAAAAAATGTTTTTAGCTTCAGGGCACGTGAGAATATTAGTAATTACTCGGAAATGTACCGGTACCTCTACCAATTTAATGAGAAAAAAATTTGCTCAAAGTGAAGATAGGACTGTTAAATGATTTTGCCAGAAATGGTTTGATTGATGGTGGTTTTGAAAAAAAAAAAAGTGTTCCTGTGTGCATACTTTTTTTTAGTCCAAAAAATTGGGACTCTCAATACTGTGTATGAGAGTCCCAAAACTTAAGGTATTGAAAACGTGCAAAACAAGAAAATAGACTGGCACCTAAAACAACCAGTCCAACACAGCTTCAGTACTGCATCAATCAACCATGCCAAAAGAATTTAAGAAACATGTGGCATTAAGCGGGAACTAGTCTCAATTTACTACACATTTCTCCATAGTCAAGCCACCAGACTATTGACACTGAATGAAGAGGTCAGTCTTTTCAAATAGTTGGACCATGGTTGGACATGTACCAGTCTAGTCTTTAGCCCCATTTTGAAATCACTTGACTTCCCTCTCATGTGCAAAATATTGAAGAAAAGTCTCCTTCAAAAATTGAATTGAGTCTGCAAACTTGGTTGGTGAAATACTGAGGACATTTCCTTTGCCCCAGTGGAATTTTTGGAGAAATTTGCTGGCCAAACTGTGAGTAAAGTTGGCCTGATTTAGTTTTGCACGTTTCAGAGCACTCCTGAGAGCCCTGTCTGACTTTTTTTGTGCGTTAGCATCAGAATCCAGTTATGAAACCTAAAAACTTTGAAAATGTTTTCTGTGTTTTCTCAAAATGTATAGCAAGCACTGAGCTGAAACTTTCACAGGCAATATTTGTTATGGAACCTAGTACAGTCCATCATTCGCTGCTATCCAAAAAGTAACTGACGAAATTATTGTTGAAAAGCTTACTTGGTTTAAAGATAGTAAGGGGACTAAACGCCCTATTAAATTATTGTTTCTGGCAAGCTGTCATTTTAAAGAAATCAATGAAAGAAGGCCTTTCCAATGATGGGTCTAAAGACTTTCCTATAACTAACGGTTTCTATAATTGGTACAATATACAACATTCACTGAGCTGAAACTTCATCAGGTTAGTTGTTCAGCACCCGTCCGTAGATTTTGAGCACGTTTGTTGCTTCAAACGACCACAATGCACAAATTACAAATGATGGACGCTACTTTTAAGATCTCAAGCAAGTTTGTTGCTTGAAATGAACAAAGAAAAAATGATCCTATTTAAAATAGACTTAAACGAAATTGAAGGTTTTTTTTTTTACACAATTCAAGAATTACAGCTCTTGAATCTTTCATTTGAATCACAATGTTTGTTCCATTCTTTTGTAAATATTTTGAATTATGTATATATTTTATTCAACTGGTGTCATGTTTCCTCACTAATAATTCTAATGAAACGTCGTCAAGAATTTTCGAAATTGAATGTGATTTCCCAACCTAAAGATTACCTCTCAAGTCTCGGACTTTAAAAATGCCTGTCAGCTTGTGTTCAGCATATCATGTTGAAATTTAACGACACTTATACTTTTCAAGAAAATTTTAATGAAATTTTACGAAAGGAAATTTTGTTCAATTTATGTAATGTTTAAATGAATATTTATGGTGTAATGACATCAGAACTTAATAAATGCATGATATGTACATAATGTTTTAGTTTTTTTTTCAAAGCAGTTTCTTTTGATTCAGTGTTTCCACTTTAAGTAGGCCAATTAAAGAAAAAAAACAGTTGGTCGTCAGGGTTTTTTTTTTTCAAAAAGAGGAAGAGAGCCTTTTTATTTTATTTTTTCCCAAGATGGCCGTCAAGTATTAAATTCATGGAATTTTGCGTCAGGGTGATGTAAATCAAATTAGGTTTTTGCCCTTCACTGATGTTCAAACACTGTATACTCAGTGTGTTACCTCCCGAGTGAAAGTTTGAAAAAATCACTCGGGAGATTCCATCTTATGAATCACTTGGGTGATTCCATCTTATTCAAAGTTCCATCTTATGAATAGAGAAATGCGGTACCCGCTGCTATGTACATGCATCAGATTCGAACCAGCCAACAGATCCTGTAAGCTTGGTGGTCGAGTGGTAAGATGTCTGCACTAGAAAGCAGGAGGTCGTGGGTTCGAGTCCAATCCGAGTGATTTTGTCAATCCTTCACTCGGGAAGTAACACACTGAGAAAACAGTGTTTATACGTCAGTGAAGGGCAAAAACCTAATTTGATTTACATCACCGATGCAAAATTTCGTCTTATGAATAGTGAAATGCGCGGGTACCCGCTGCTATGTACATGCATCAGATTCGAACCAGCCAACCGACCCCGTAAGCTCGGTGGTCGAGTGGTAAGACGTCTGTACTGGAAAGCAGGAGGTCGTGGGTTCGAGTCCCACCTGAGTGATTTTGTCCAACTTTCACTCGGGAGGTAACACACCGAGTACTCGGTGTTTAATACGTCGGTGAAGGGCAAAAACCTAATTTGAAGTATTAAATTAAAGGTGGCCGCCAACTTCGGTTCAAAATGACTGCCAGCTTTTAATAAGCTGCCCTAATACTAGTAAGTAGAATCAAAATATTATTGTTAAGCATGTTCTATGCATTTTTTATAGCGAAATACAAGGGGAAAAATTAAAAAAAGTTAAAAAGGGTACGGACAGGGACCATCAAATGGTTTTTTTTTACAATAGATTTCTATGGTAACCCAAATATCCAGATTATGGGATAAATATATCCCATAATCTCTGGCCAGTTCCTCTGTTAACAATGACCTGCTGGCGTCACTGAAACCAAAGTCAGTTTCATCATTTGTAGTCCTATTAGTATTATAAGAGTTTA